GCTGCGGCAGCAAAGGTCCGGGCTGGCTGTGAAGGCTGACAGGCACACCATTCTCGGCACCAGTCAACGATTGGCGCACCTCCATGCGAAGCAGCCCGCAGCAACTCAGCCGCGAAATCGTTGCCAGGCAGGCAACGTCCGTGGAAGAGACTAGCTTCATTGGAAATGCGAATGAGATCGGTTGCGTCGCGGAGGAAATGGTACTTGGATGTTCGTGGCCTTTAGTAAATGTTTAGTATATTTACTAAATGTTAGTAAATTTTAAGTTGGGTTTAGGATAGTTATCGTAGATGCATAAATCGGACTTAGCGGGGTTTATAAGTTGGACTTACTAACTAATATAAGTCTGACTTAGTAAACAAATAGCAGATATAGCTAAATCAGATTTAGCTGAAATAGTAAATTATGCTAACTTGGCTAAATCAGATTTAGGGGCTTTGATTTTTCTTCTTTGGTGGCTAAAAAAAGCACTTACATATGTGAGATTATGTGAGTATTTGGGTGGAAGCTTCGAAAATGGCAATGTATATATATAAAGGAAATCAGTGGCCTGTATAAAATCCCGTGCGGCTGGAATAACACCCGCGCGGGTCCGGTCACTGTGTGCGAAAATGTTTGTGTGTAAAAGCCTCTGCGTGTGAAAGCTTGTGTGTGTAAAAGCCTCTGTGTGAAAGTGTTTGTGCGTAAACGCGTCTATGTGTAAAAGCGTCTGTGTGTCAAAGCTTCTGTGTGTAAAAGCCTTTGTGTGTAAAAGTGTCTGTGTGTAAAAGAGTCTGTGCAAAAGCCTCTGTGATTTCATTGTGAAAGTCTCTGTGTGTAAAAGCTTCTGTGTAAAAGCGTCTGTGTGTACAAGCCTCTGTGTTTGAAAGTGTGTGTTGTGTGCAAAAGTGTCTGTGTGTAAGAGCGTCTGTGTGTAAAAGTCTCTGTGTGTAAACGCGTCTGTGTGTAGAAGTCTGTGTGCGTAAAAGCTTCTGTGTGTAAAAGCCTCTGTCTGTGTGTGCGTGTGTGTAAGAGTCTCTATGTGTAAAAGGGTCTGCGTGCAAAAGCTTCTGTGTGTACATGTCTGTGTATGTAAAAGGTTCTGCGTGTAAAAGCCTCTGTGTGTGAAAGCTTCTGTGTGTAAAAGCCTTTGTGTGTAAAACGTCTATGTGTAAAAGTGTCTGCGTGTGTGTATGTGCGTGTATGTGTCTTCCTCTTTGTGTTGTGTTTGTGTGTGTGTGCGTGTGGTATCTTTGTTTGTGTATCTGTGTGTGTGTGTATGTGTTTCTTTGCTGTCTGTCTCCGTCAGTCTCTGAAATTTTGTATTTATCTTTGTCTACTTCTGCTTAGAATCTGACATATAGTATTTCTCCTTTCTGCTGATCATCTGCATCATCTTCAATGAAGCTTTCACCTACAATGTCTTTGATACTACTCACAAACAGACGGCATATAACCAGCCAAAACCAAAGATGCCAGCCACATTTCTGACAATCGCAGATAAAGTTTGCAGGCGCCGTATACCAGTTTTTCTGTAGGCGAGTGGAAAGAAGGAATTTCAACAACAATTCGTTCATTCAACAGCAATTTGTTCTTTCGCCGTTGCACTTGCAGCCTCCCCAAACGGCCTGCACATAGATCGAAGCCAACCACACCTGCCAGTGACTATATATGACTGCATGCAGAGCTATGTTGCTCGCAGGCAATTCTTGCAGAGATGTTTTCTCGCAAGGCAAGTTAGTGCGGGGAAGTTGGCGAAGGAGTTTCTCAAAATAGGATGCAACTTGCAACGAGATTTGAAACATGGTCAAAAACAAAGATCCTGCGAATCATCATGTTGCAAGCTGAGCTTTTTCACTTGCGAAATGTCACCCCTCTGGAATCTGTCAATGCTCAAGAAATGCACCCCTCTTGGTTTGCATGGCTCCTTTTTGAAGGAACACTGCAATCATGACAATCAATGCCATGATGATCATCTCTGTACGAAGATTATACCAGGTGCACCACGCCTATACATAGGCTACAGCCAGATACGGCTATCCACGCATATACAGCTATCCACGCCTATACGGCTATGCACGCCTACGGCTATATCAACGCCTATGCTCACTTGTTCTTGCTGCTCTTGCCGCCTGGCCTTTTTTCGGGTGTGGTTCGTAGCCATGCTTTTTCAGCTCTGCAGCAGCCACCTTGGATGCCTTCTCGCATGCATCTTCCAGTGTCATGCCCTCTTTCAGGCCCTTCAACTTTGCAGCCGTGTATGTTCTGCTGTGCAGATTCTTTCGGTCCATCTTCAAAGGCTCCTTGTCCTTTTTCGCCGCCTTTGTCGCGTCAATTTTCTTCGGCTTGGATTCTGGCACTGCTGCGGCTGGCCTCTTCATCTTGGCAGCCTTGGAGCGACGATCGATGGCATCCTCCACAACTCGCATCCAACGGCTTTGGGATGAGGTCTCCGTAGCTGGCTGGTCATCCGTCTCATCTAAAGAAGAAGAACTTTGTAAGATGTCAGCGCCCCCAAACAGACGCCGCACCGTGAACGGCAAGAGCCAAAGCCATGCCGACAACCACTCAGCCGCCCAATGCCAGTGAGGAGAAATCTATGGCAAAGGGGAGCCACCAGTAGCGCCAGACTGAACCAACTGCTCCACGCCCACTCGCAAATATGGAGAGGCACGGGACCATAGTGTAACGACGCATCGTCAACGAGTCATCTCAAGAGGTAGAGCAGGAAGCAAAATGCACCTGCAGGCCACGTGCACCGGTAAAGGTGAAACAACCATGCCAGAATTCAGCAGCCAAAGGACTGCCTCTGTACACACATTGCAGAAGCCAAAGAGGCCCCAGCAGCAACCACCGCTGCAAAAATTGCAGAGCCAATAGCTTCCTCAAGCCAAAGGTTCCAAACAGCTGTTGAATTGAATCAAAACTGCAATCCGCCATGTCCAAGCCGCCGAAGACACCAGCGCCACCAGGTGACCTCCAAATCAATGGAGAAATCAGCAGCCCAAACGCGACGAACATCCACACCCACAGTCGCAGACTGTGGTCGACAAAGCGCCAAGCCATGTCTCCCTTGCAGAAATGTAGGCAAGCTGACCATCATCCGTCTCATCTCCACCGGTGTCGAACAACTTGAGAGGCTTGACGCCTGCAGGCTTCACTTCATGAGGTTGGCTCTCTTGGGTGTCCTGCGACTCATCTGGTGGAGACTTGGACGGCACTCGAGGAGCAGCCATGCCTTTGCCCTTTGGGTCAAGTAGACCAGATCTTCCGGAGATGCCGGATTGCCTTTGCCGAATGGGTTCACTCCCTGCTGCATCATGGACATGAAGTACTGCGCACCCATCATCATCATCATCATCATCATCATCATGGCTGGGTCAAATCCCCCGCATGCAGCACCACCCGGCATGCTGCCCATGCTGGCGCCCATCATGGGTTCTTTTGGATGAGAAGGGAGCATGGCCATAGACTCCGGTCTCTGCGACTTCGAAGACCTCCTCAGATCTACTTGGCTACGAGCAGCCAATCCCTGACCTTCTTCCACGCCACCCATAGTGGAACCAGCGAAATTCAATGCAGGTGGCAAGTCCATAGGGTCATGGGGGTATGTGGTGAGGTATGGCTCCGGCAGGTCGCTTGCATTCTTGCCCCTAGCGACAACCTCTAAGATCAGGTAAGGCTATTTTCTGACTATTAGGTAAAGTTAATTTTTCGGACAAAATTCTGACTAGTAGTCAATTCTTTTAATTGTCTTTTGAGTCAATTCTTAAAATTAACTTAAGCTAATTTTAGTAAATTACCTTGGAAATAACAAGAAAAATAGTTATTTTGCTTTAATTTTGTAAGCAAACAAATGCTAGAAAGAAAAGAATTTTGAAAAACACGGTCCATGGAGACCACACATGTGTAATCAAAAAGTTCTGCAAATGTGAAACTTCAAGCTCCAATGTGGCTTAAAAGCAACATTCAAAATGTTACTTAGACATTGCAAACATGTTACTTAGACAGTGCCAACACACACAAGGCCAACAGTTCACCAGCGGGTCAGTGGCAATTTTTCACATTTTCGACAATTGCAAGTGCAATGCAATTCTCAACTTGGCCACCATCTTTGCAGTGACCAAGGGGCCTTGTAAGCCCTTGCAGCGGCTTTTGGCCAATGTGCGATGCACATTCATATTGTCTTCCTGCCTGAAGCACCAAGTTAGCCTTGGATTAATGTAGCCAGAAGCAAGTGCAGAGTGCAACACTGGGTGGATTTTTGGGATATCCTGAAACAATGGCTTCTCCTCATCTTTGAAGTGCTGTGCAAGATCCATGTGAAGCTGTGCTCCTGCAAAGCACAACTTCTGAAAAGCCAACCTTGACTTGCTCTGTGCCATGGCTGCCACCACGCAGGGGCAACAAAAACTCTTTGAGTTGGCTTGAACTGTGGGAGAATCAGAAAGCACATTGATGAGGAACAATGCTTGCACAGAAATGTTACTTAGTCATATAAGCCAAGAAAAGTTGCTGGAACATCACAAGCACACCACATGTTACTTAGACAAATGTGTGGCACAGCCCTGGCAAACCCGATGATACTTAGACAATGAAAAAATACCAAGCCCATGGTGCCCAAGCAAGAAAGCACCACACAGGTTTCTTCCATACCACAAATCCTTCAAAAATTCTGTGAGATTTGCCCGTTAATGATGTTACTTAGACATTGCAACACACAAACTGTCAGCCAAAAATCATGTCAAAACAAGAGATCACTGGGAAACTTCAAAACGAAAACATATCCTGTTTGATTCTTTTTTGACATGAAAACCACAAAAATAGATATAAATTTTCAGCTATGAAAATATAGTTTTTAAGTTAATTTTAAGAATTAACTTGGGAATTAACTTAGAAATTAACTGAGAAATTGTCTTGGCACCTTGACTTGAAAATTGACTATTAGTCAGAAAATTAACTATTGACTAATACTCAGAAAATAGACTTACCTGATCTTAGAGGAAGTCTTTTCAACTCCTCTAAGACTCTAAGTATGAAGTCTTTCGTGAGTTTGCATTGTCATACCAGCGGCAATTCCTGCCGCCATGATAGGCTTCCAACTTTTCTCCAGTGGCCTCACAATGCCGACTGACACGCATCGGTCTGCCAGCACTTGGATCTTTGCCAGCAAAGAATGCTGAGGGTCACTCAGCTTTTGCACATCCTCCAAGGTGAGGTATGCTGAGAAGCTTTCGACAAGCTGGCGCCGAGGGCTGCTGCTCAAAGCTCCAGTTGAGTGGTGGCTGGTGAGCAAACTCACCTTTTTGCTGTCCAGTCCATGGGCCTGCAAGGACCAGGCGCTGCATCTGCATGCTCTGTTGATGATTCAAATCTGTCAAATTGCGAAGCATCTGCAGCACGCCAGCAGCTTGGTTGGCGATGGCCGAAGTCATGTTGTGGCCTTCAGGGAGGCTCTTCTTTTGCTCTTCAAGCATCGTGTGAATGTGGGTGATGTCTGCGTGGACCTGCTCGTAGGTCGCCATATCGGCACGTCAAGAGTTTTCACCCGTTTCTGGATAAAAAATGATAAGTAACTCTGCCAACAGAAGTGCGAGTGAAAGCACTCTGCAACTCAGCACAGCGAGTCAGACTCTGCTGCGCAAATTCCTGGCCTCTTCAATGGCCCACACATCAGCTGCAAGCTGCAGTCTTGAATAAAGAGAAACATGCCGGAGTCGGGTTCCTGTTTTTGGGAAGGACAAGGTTTATGAAGGACAAGAGAAAGGGCTAGGAGTCTTGTAGGTTGGCAACATACAGGGCTAGGAGTGCTGTAGGTCGGCAACATGCAGGGCTAGGAGTGCTGTAGGTTGGCAACATACAGGGCTAGGAGTGCTGTAGGTTGGCAACATACAGGGCTAGGAGTGCTGTAGGTTGGCAGGATACAAGGCTAGGAGTGCTGTAGGTTGGCAACATACAGGGCTAGGAGTGCTGTGGGTTGGCAACATACAGGGCTAAGAGGGCTGTAGGTCGGCAACATACAGGGCTTGGAAGGCTGTAGGTTGGCAAGATACAGGGCTGAAGGGCTGTAGGATGGCAACATACAGGGCTAGGAGGGCTGTAGGTTGGCAACATACAGGGCTAGGAGTGCTGTAGGTTGGCAACATACAGGGCTAGGAGTGCTGTGGGTTGGCAACATACAGGGCTAAGAGTGCTATAGGTCGGCAAGATCCAGGGAGTGCTGTAGGATGGCAACATACAGGGCTAGGAGAGTTGTAGGTTCGCCACATACAGGGCTAGGAGTGCTGTAGGTTGGCAACATACAGGGGAGTGCTGTAGGTTGGCAACATACAGGGCTTGGAAGGCTGTAGGTTGGCAAGATACAGGGCTGAAGGGCTGTAGGATGGCAACATACAAGGCTAGGAGGGCTGTAGGTTGGCAACATACAGGGCTAGGAGTGGTGTAGGTCGGCAACATACAGGGCTAGGGTGCTGTAGGTTGGCAACATACAGGGCTAAGAGGGCTGTAGGTCGGCAACATACAGGGCTTGGAAGGCTGTAGGTTGGCAAGATACAGGGCTGAAGGGCTGTCGGATGGCAACATACAGGGCTAGGAGGGCTGCAGGTTGGCAACATACAGGGCTAGGAGTGGTGTAGGTCGGCAACATACAGGGCTAGGAGTGCTGTAGGTTGGCAACATACAAGGCTAGGAGGGCTGTAGGTCGGCAACATACAGGGCTAGGAGGGCTGTAGGTTGGCAACATACAGGACTAGGAGGGCTCTAGGTTGGCAACATACATGGCTAGGAGTGCTGTAGCTGTAGGTCGGCAACATACAGGGCTACGAGTGCTGTAGGTTGGCAACATACAGGGCTAGGAGTGCTGTAGGTTGGCAACATACAGGGCTAGGAGTGCTGTGGGTTGGCAACAAAGAGGGCCAGGAGGGCTGTAGGTTGGCAACATACAGGGCTAGGAGTGCTGTGGGTTGGCAACAAAGAGGGCCAGGAGGGCTGTAGGTTGGCAACATACAGGGCTAGGAGCGCTGTAGGTCGGCAACATACAGGGCTAGGAATCCTGTAGGTTGGCAGCTAGGAGTGCTGTAGGTTGGCAACATACAGGGCTAGGAGTGCTGTAGGTTGGCAACATACAGGGCTAAGAGTGCTATAGGTCAGCAACATACAGGGCTAGGAGTGTTGTAGGTCGGCAACATACAGGGCTAGGAGTGCTGTAGGTTGGCAGCATACAGGGCTAGGAGGGCTGTAGGTTGGCAACATACCAGGGCTAGGAACGCTGTAGGTCGGCAACATACAGGGCTAGAAGTGCTGTAGGTTGCCAACATGCAGGGCTAGGAGTGTGTAGGTCGGCAACATACAGGGCTAGGAGTGCTGTAGGTTGGCAACATACTGGGCTAAGAGTGCTATAGGTCGGCAAGATACAGGGCTAGGAGTGCTGTAGGATGGCAACATACAGGGCTAGGAGTGTTGTAGGTTCGCCACATACAGGGCTAGGAGTGCTGTAGGTTGGCAGCATACAGGGGAGGGCTGTAGGTTGGCAACATACCAGGGCTAGGAACGCTGTAGGTCGGCAACATACAGGGCTAGAAGTGCTGTAGGTTGCCAACATGCAGGGCTAGGAGTGCTGTAGGTTGGCAACATACAGGGCTAGGAGTGCTGTAGGTTGGCAACATACTGGGCTAAGAGTGCTATAGGTCGGCAAGATACAGGGCTAGGAGTGCTGTAGGATGGCAACATACAGGGCTTGGAAGGCTGTAGGTTGGCAAGATACAGGGCTGAAGGGCTGTCGGATGGCAACATACAGGGCTAGGAGGGCTGTAGGTTGGCAACATAGGGCTAGGAGTGGTGTAGGTCGGCAACATACAGGGCTAGGAGTGCTGTAGGTTGGCAACATACAAGGCTAGGAGGGCTGTAGGTCGGCAACATACAGGGCTAGGAGGGCTGTAGGTTGGCAACATACAGGACTAGGAGGGCTCTAGGTTGGCAACATACATGGCTAGGAGTGCTGTAGCTGTAGGTCGGCAACATACAGGGCTACGAGTGCTGTAGGTTGGCAACATACAGGGCTAGGAGTGCTGTAGGTTGGCAACATACAGGGCTAGGAGTGCTGTGGGTTGGCAACAAAGAAGGCCAGGAGGGCTGTAGGTTGGCAACATACAGGGCTAGGAGTGCTGTGGGTTGGCAACAAAGAGGGCCAGGAGGGCTGTAGGTTGGCAACATACAGGGCTAGGAGCGCTGTAGGTCGGCAACATACAGGGCTAGGAGTCCTGTAGGTTGGCAGCTAGGAGTGCTGTAGGTTGGCAACATAAAAAAACTAGGAGTGCTGTAGGTTGGCAACATACAGGGCTAGCAGTGCTGTAGGTTGGCAACATACAGGGCTAGGAGTGCTGTAGGTTGGCAACATACAGGGCTAGGAGTGCTGTAGGTTGGCAACATACAGGGCTAGGAGTGCTGTAGGTTGGCAACATGCAGGGCTAGGAGGACTGTAGGTCGTGCCGTAGGTTGGCAACATACAGGGCTAGGAGTGCTGTAGGTTGGCAACATACAGGGCTAGGAGTGCTGTAGGTTGGCAACATGCAGGGCTAGGAGGACTGTAGGTCGTGCCGTAGGTTGGCAACATACAGGGCTAGGAGTGCTGTAGGTTGGCAACATACAGGGCTAGGAGTGCTGTAGGTTGGCAACATGCAGGGCTAGGAGGACTGTAGGTCGTGCCGTAGGTTGGCAACATACAGGGCCCGTCCTCCCACACCCAGTAGTGCACGCGGCAAACGCTGTGCATGAGAAGGCGCTTCTCCGGCGACTCGTCCAGCTTGTGGGTGAGGGCAACGCGCATGCCAATTGCCAAGGGAAGCATGCCAGGCAGGCCGTTGGTGTCCTTGTCGTGTTACGTCAGCCACCTGGACTGGAAACGCACCATGAAGGACAGACAATAACTTTGCATCCAAGGTTTGGGCCTTGAATTTTAGGCAGGCAGAGGACCCAGAATGCAAACTTTGCATCCAAGGTTTGGGCCTTGGTTTTAGGCAGGCAGAAGACCCAGAATGCAAACTTTGCATCCAAGGTTTGGGCCTTGGTTTTAGGCAGGCAGAAGACTCAGAATGCAAACTTTGCATCCAAGGTTTGGGCCTTGAATTTTGGGCACGCAAAAGGCCCGGAATGCACCCTTTGCATCCAAGGTTGGGGCCTTGAATTTTGGGCAGGCAGAAGGCCCAGAATGCAAACTTTGCATCCAAGGCTTGGGCCTTTTTTTTGGCAGGCAGAAGACCCAGAATGCAAACTTTGCATCCAAGGTTTGGGTTTTGAATTTTAGGCAGGCAGAAGACTCAGAATGCAAACTTTGCATCCAAGGTTTGGGCCTTGAATTTTGGGCACGCAAAAGGCCCGGAATGCACCCTTTGCATCCAAGGTTGGGGCCTTGAATTTTGGGCAGGCAGAAGGCCCAGAATGCAAACTTTGCATCCAAGGCTTGGGCATTTTTTTCGGCAGGCAGAAGGCCCAGAATGCCAACTTTGCATCCAAGGTTTGGGTTTTGAATTTTAGGCAGGCAGAAGGACCAGAATGCCAACTTTGCATCCAAGGTTTGGGCCTTGGATTTTAGGCAGGCAGAAGACCCAGAATGCAAACTTTGCATCCAAGGTTTGGGCCTTGGATTTTAGGCAGGCAGAAGACCCAGAATACAAACTTTGCATCCAAGCTTTGGGCCTTGGTTTTAGGCAGGCAGAAGACATAGAATACAAACTTTGCATCCAAGGTTTGGGCCTTGAATTTTAGGCAGGCAGAAGACCCAGAATACAAACTTTGCATCCAAGCTTTGGGCCTTGGATTTTAGGCAGGCTGAAGACCCAGAATGCAAACTGTGCATCCAAGGTTTGGGCCTTGAATTTTAGGCAGGCAGAAGGCCCAGAATGCAAACTTTGCATCCAAGGTTTGGGCCTTGGATTTTTGGGCAGGCAGAAGACCTAGAATGCAAACTTTGCATCCAAGGTTTGGGCCTTAGATTTTAGGCAGGCAGAAGACCCAGAATGCAAACTTTGCATCCAAGGTTTGGGCCTTGAAATTTTAAGCAGGCAGAAGACCCAGAACGCAAACTTTGCATCCAAGGTTTGGGCCTTGAATTTTAGGCAGGCAGAAGACCAAGAATGCAAACTTTGCATCCAAGGTTTGGGCCTTGAAGTTTAGGCAGGCAGAAGACCCAGAATACAAACTTTGCATCCAAAGTTTGGGCCTTGGATTTTAGGCAGGCAGAAGACCCAAAATGCAAACTTTGCATCCATGGCTTGGGCTTTGAATTTTAGGCAGGCAAAAGATCCAAAGTTTGGGCCTTGGATTTTAGGCAGGCAGAAGACCCAGAATGCAAACTTTGCATCCAAGGTTTGGGCCTTGGATTTTAGGCAGGCAGAAGACCCAAAATGCAAACTTTGCATCCAAGGTTTGGGCCTTGAATTTTAGGCAGGCAGAGGACCCATAATGCAAACTTTGCATCCAAAGTTTGGGCCTTGGATTTTAGGCAGGCAGAAGACCCAAAATGCAAACTTTGCATCCATGGCTTGGGCTTTGAATTTTAGGCAGGCAGAAGACCCAGAATGCAAACTTTGCATCCAAGGTTTGGGCCTTGAATTTTAGGCAGGCAGAAGACCCAGAATGCAAACTTTGCATCCAAGGTTTGGGCTTGAATTTTAGGCAGGCAGAAGACCCAAAATGCAAACTTTGCATCCAAGGTTTCGGCCTTGGATTTTAGGCAGGCAGAAGACCCAGAATGCAAACTTTGCATCCAAGGTTTGGGCCTTGATTTTAGGCAGGCAGAAGACCCAGAATGCAAACTTTGCATCCAAGGTTCGGGCCTTGGATTTTAGGCAGGCGGAAGACCCAGAATGCAAACTTTGCATCCAAGGTTTGGGCTTGAATTTTTCGGCAGGCAGAAGACCCAGAATGCAAACTTTGCATCCAAGGTTTGGGCCTTGAATTTTAGGCAGGCAGAAGACCCAGAATGCAAACTTTGCCTCCACGGTTTGGTGCCCTTGGATTTAGGCGGCAGAAGACCCATAATTCATAACTTTGCATCCAAGTTTGGGCCTTGGATTTTAGGCAAGTCAGAAGACCCAGGGATGCAACTTTGCATCCAATGTTTTGGGCCTTGGATTTTAGGCAGGCAGAAGACCCAGAATGCAAACTTTGCATCCAAGGTTTGGGCCTGAATTTTTAAGCAGGCAGAAGACCCAGAATGCAAACTTTGCATCCAAGGTTTGGGCCTTGAATTTTCAGGCAGGCAGAAGACCCAGAATGCAAACTTTGCATCCAAGGTTTGGGCCTTGAGTTTCAGGCAGGCAGAAGGCCCAGAATGTAAACTTTTCCTCCAACGTTTGGGCCTTGAATTTAAGGCAGGCAGAAGACCTAGAATGCAAACTTTGCATCCAAAGTTTGGGCCTTGCAGAAGAGCGAGAATGCAAACTTTGCATCCAAGGTTTGGGCCTTGGATTTTTGGCAGGCAGAAGACCCAGAATGCAAACTTTACATCCAAGGTTTGGGCCTTGGATTTTAGGCAGGCAGAAGACCCAGAATGCAAACTTTGCATCCAAGGTTTGGGCCTTGGATCTTTGGGCAGGCAGAAGACCCAGAACGCAAACTTTCCATCCAAGGTTTGGGCCTTGGGTTTTGGCAGGCAGAAGACCAAGAATGCAAACTTTGCATCCAAGGTTTGGGCCTTGAATTTTAGGCAGGCAGAAGACCCAGAATGCAAACTTGCATCCAAGGTTTGTGCCTTGAAGTTTAGGCAGGCAGAAGACCCAGAATGCAAACTTTCCATCCAAGGTTTGGGCCTTGGATTTTAGGCAGGCAGAAGACCCAGAATGCAAACTTTGCATCCAAGGTTTGGGCCTTGAATTTTTAGGCAGGCAGAAGATCCAAGGTTTGGGCCTTGGATTTTAGGCAGGCAGAAGACCCAGAATGCAAACTTTGCATCCAAGGTTTGGGATTGAATTTTTTGGCAGGCAGAAGACCCAGAATGCAAACTTTGCATCAAAGGTTTGGGCCTTGGGTTTTAGGCAGGCAGAAGACCCAGAATGCAAACTTTGCATCCAAGGTTTGGGCCTTGGGTTTTGGCAGGCAGAAGACCAAGAATGCAAACTTTGCATCCAAGGTTTGGGCCTTGAATTTTAGGCAGGCAGAAGACCCAGAATGCAAACTTTGCATCTAAGGTTTGGGCCTTAGATTTTTAGGCAGGCAGAAGACCCAGAATGCAAACTTTGCATCCAAGGTTTGGGCCTTGGATTTTAGGCAGGCAGAAGACCCAGAATGCAAACTTTGCATCCAAGGTTTGGGCCTTGAATTTTAGGCAGGCAGAAGACCCAGAATGCAAACTTTGCATCCAAGGTTTGGGCCTTGGATTTTAGGCAGGCAGAAGACCCAAAATGCAAACTTTGCATCCAAGGCTTGGGGTTGGATTTTCAGGCAGGCAGAAGACCCAGAATGCAAACTTTGCATCCAAGGTTTGGGCCTTGAATTTTAGGCAGGCAGAAGACCCAGAATGCAAACTTTGCACCCAAGGTTTGGGCCTGGACTTTAGGCAGGCAGAAGACCCAAAATGCAAACTTTGCACCCAAGGCTTGGGGTTGAATTTTCAGGGAGGCAGAAGACCCAGAATGCAAACTTTGCATCCAAGGTTTGCGCCTTGAATTTTAGGCAGGCAGAAGACTTTGCATCCCAGGTTTGGGCCTTGAATTTTTCGGCAGGCAGAAGACCCAGAATGCAAACTTTGCATCCAAGGTTTGGGCCTTGAATTTTAGGCAGGCAGAAGACCCAGGATACAAACTTTGCATCCAAGGTTTGGGCCTTGAATTTCAGGCAGGCAGAAGACCCAGAATGCAAACTTTGCATCCAAGGTTTGGGCCTTGATTTTAGGCACGCAGAAGACCCAGAATGCAAACTTTGCATCCAAGGTTCGGGCCTTGGATTTTAGGCAGGCGGAAGACCCAGAATGCAAACTTTGCATCCAAGGTTTCGGCCTTGGATTTTAGGCAGGCAGAAGACCCAGAATGCAAACTTTGCATCCAAGGTTTGGGCCTTGGATTTTAGGCAGGCAGAAGACCCAGAATGCAAACTTTGCATCCAAGGTTTGGGCCTTGGATTTTAGGCAGGCAGAAGACCCAGAATGCAAACTTTGCACCAAGGTTTGGGCTTGAATTTTAGGCAGGCAGAAGACCCAGAATGCAAACTTTGCATCCAAGGTTTCGGCCTTGGATTTTAGGGCAGGCAGAAGACCCAGAATGCAAACTTTGCATCTAAGGTTTGGGCCTTGGTTTTTAGGCAGGCAGAAGACCCAGAATGCAAACTTTGCATCCAAGGTTCGGGCCTTGGATTTTAGGCAGGCGGAAGACCCAGAATGCAAACTTTGCATCCAAGGTTTGGGCCTTGAATTTTTAGGCAGGCAGAAGACCCAGAATGCAAACTTTGCATCCAAGGTTTGGGCCTTGAATTTTAGGCAGGCAGAAGACCCAGAATGCAAACTTTGCATCCAAGGTTGGGCTTGAATTTTAGGCTCCAAGGTTTGGGCCTTGGATTTTAGGCAGGCAGAAGACCCAGAATGCAAACTTTGCATCCAAGGTTTGGGCCTTGGATTTTAGGCAGGCAGAAGACCCAGAATGCAAACTTTGAATCAAAGGTTTGGGCCTTGAAGGTTTTTGGGCCTGATTTTAGGCAGGCAGAAGACCCAGAATGCAAACTTTGCATCCAAGGTTCGGGCCTTGAATTTTTTGGCAGGCAGAAGACCCAGAATGCAAACTTTGCATCAAAGGTTTGGGCCTTGGATTTTAGGCAGGCAGAAGACCCAGAATGCAAACTTTGCATCCAAGGTTTGGGCTTGAATTTTTCGGCAGGCAGAAGACCCAGAATGCAAACTTTGCATCCAAGGTTTGGGCCTTGAATTTTAGGCAGGCAGAAGACCCAGAATGCAAACTTTGCATCCAAGGTTTGGGCCTTGAATTTTAGGAAGGCAGAAGACCCAGAATGGCAAACTTTCATCTAAGGTTTGGGGCCTTTGTGGGGGGGAATTGGGGAAATTTTTCGGCAGGCAGAAGACCCAGAATGCAAACTTTGCATCCAAGGTTTGGGCCTTGAATTTTAGGCAGGCAGAAGACCCAGAATGCAAACTTTGCATCCAAGGTTTGGGCCTTGAATTTTAGGCAGGCAGAAGACCCAGAATGCAAACTTTGCATCCAAGGTTTGGGCCTTGAATTTTAGGCAGGCAGAAGATCCAGAATGCAAACTTTGCATCCAAGGTTTGGGCCTTGGATTTTAGGCAGGCAGAAGACCCAGAATGCAAACTTTGCATCTAAGGTTTGGGCCTTGAATTTTCGGCAGGCAGAAGACCCAGAATGCAAACTTTGCATCTAAGGTTTGGGCCTTGATTTTTAGGCAGGCAGAAGACCCATGAAGACCCAAAATGCAAACTTTGCATCCAAGGTTTGGGCCTTGGATTTTATGGGCAGGCAGAAAGACCCGAATGCAAACTTTGCATCCCAAGGTTTGGGGCCTTGACTTTAGGCAGGCATAATACCCAAAATGCAAACTTTGCATCCAAGGCTTGGGGTTCAATTTTCAGGCAGGCAGCAGGCCCAGAATGCAAACTTTGCATCCAAGGTTTGGGCCTTGGACTTTAGGCAGGCAGAAGACCCAGAATGCAAACTTTGCATCCAAGGTTTGGACCTTGAGTTTCAGGCAGGCAGAAGACCCAAAATGCAAACTTTGCATCCAAGGCTTGGGCCTTGAATTTTAGGCAGGCAGAAGACCCAGAATGCAAACTTTGCATCCAAGGTTTCGGCCTTGGATTTTAGGCAGGCAGAAGACCGAGAATGCAAACTTTGCATCCACGGTTTGGGCTTGAATTTTTCGGCAGGCAGAAGACCCAGAATGCAAACTTTGCATCCAAGGTTCGGGCCTTGAATTTTAGGCAGGCAGAAGACCCAGGATACAAACTTTGCATCCGAGGTTTGGGCCTGGGATTTTAGGCAGGCAGAAGGCCCAGAATGTAAACTTTGCATCCAAGGTTTGGGCCTTGAATTTTAGGCAGGCAGAAGACCCAGAATGCAAACTTTGCATCCAAGGTTTGGGCTTGAATTTTTGGCAGGCAGAAGACCCAGAATGCAAACTTTGCATCCAAGGTTTGGGCCTTGGATTTTAGGCAGGCAGAAGACCCAGAATGCAAACTTTGCATCCAAGGTTTGGGCCTTGGATTTTAGGCAGGCCGAAGACCCAGAATGCAAAATTTGCATCCAAGGTTTGGGCCTTGGATTTTCGGCAGGCAGAAGACCCAGAATGCAAACTTTGCACCAAGGTTTGGGCTTGAATTTCAGGCAGGCAGAAGACCCAAAATGCAAACTTTGCATCCAAGGTTTGGGCCTTGGATTTTAGGCAGGCAGAAGACCCAGAATGCAAACTTTGCATCCAAGGTTTGGGCCTTGGATTTTAGGCAGGCAGAAGACCCAGAATGCAAACTTTGCATCCAAGGTTTGGGCCTTGGATTTTAGGCAGGCAGAAGACCCAGAATGCAAACTTTGCATCCAAGGTTTGGGCCTTGAATTTTAGGCAGGCAGAAGACCCAGAATGCAAACTTTGCATCCAAGGTTTGGGCCTTGAATTTTAGGCAGGCAGAAGACCCAGAATGCAAACTTTCAAACTTTGCATCCCAGGTTTGGGCCTTGAATTTTTAGGCAGGCCGAAGACCCAGAATGCAAACTTTGCACCCAAGGTTTGGGCCTTAAATTTCAGGCAGGCAGAAGACACCAGAATACACACTTTGCATCCAAGGTTTGGGCCTTGGATTTTTTAGGCAGGCAGAAGACACCAGAATGCAAACTTTGCATCCAAGGTTTGGGCCTTGGATTTTAGGCAGGCAGAAGACCTAGAATGCAAACTTTGATCCAAGGTTTGGGCCTTGAATTTTTGGCAGGCAGAAGACCCAGAATGCAAACTTTGCATCCAAGGTTTGGGCCTTGAATTTTGGGCACGCAAAAGGCCCGGAATGCAAACTTTGCATCCAAGGTTGGGGCCTTGAATTTTGGGCAGGCAGAAGGCCCAGAATGCAAACTTTGCATCCAAGGTTTGGGTTTTGAATTTTAGGCAGGCAGAAGGACCAGAATGCCAACTTTGCATCCAAGGTTTGGGCCTTGGATTTTAGGCAGGCAGAAGACCCAGAATGCAAACTTTGCATCCAAGGTTTGGGCCTTGGATTTTAGGCAGGCAGAAGACCCAAAATGCAAACTTTGCATCCAAGGCTTGGGGTTGGATTTTCAGGCAGGCAGAAGACCCAGAATGCAAACTTTGCATCCAAGGTTTGGGCCTTGAATTTTAGGCAGGCAGAAGACCCAGAATGCAAACTTTGCATCCAAGGTTTGGGCCTTGAATTTTAGGCAGGCAGAAGACCCAGAATGCAAACTCTGACAAACTCAAGGTTTGGGCCTTGAATTTAAGGCAGGCAGAAGACCCAGAATGCAAACTTTGCATCCAAGGTTTGGGCCTTGACTTTAGGCAGGCAGAAGACCCAAAATGCAAAAATTGCATCCAAGGCTTGGGGTTGAATTTTCAGGCAGGCAGAAGACCCAGAATTGAAAGCGGGGCGCACAGCCCCAAGATGCAGCAAGCAGCTTGTTTTCCTATCACGCTGATGCTTGAGCCAAAGTCATGGCCATAAGTCTTAAATGAATTCTCATGTGCAACATGCTAGCCTATACATGGCAGGTGGTGACTGGAATAGGGTCTGTTTCCTGACACCCCTCCACAGCTGAATCACGTAGTGATTTGGCTGACTTTCAGTGAAACACTTCAACCACCACACTGTTTACATGGCGTGTAGCCACGTTCAACAGCTAGTGACCTGCGGCAGTTCTGTACATTACCACGGAAAGCTCTCACCATTCCGCAGCTCATGCGATGATACCGTACACCGCCTCCAAGTATAGCCACTAGGTCATCTTGTGGTTCTCTCGCTTCGGCTTTTGGTTTTGGTTTTGCTTTTGGATTCTGTCTTTGTTCCCCTCCATGCCCTGATACTGGCATGGATGTTGAAGAACTTGCGGTGCTCTGCGCAGTGGATGTCTGCGTAGTTCTGTTGTCTGCCCTGATCTCATCTGTTTGAATCATCTTTTCGCAGATTTCTTCTTCCATGAACCTTCTTCTCACGGCTGAAAACAGCCCGTATAGTGCAAGGATGTGGACCACAAACATATAGAGCACAAAGCTAAAGATGCTTGAGTCCTTCTCTTCATCCTCTGGCTGTGCTGCTGCGCAGTTCATCATACACAGCAGGCATGCTACAACAATGCCTCTCCTGCAGAGTGGCATAATTTGAACCAGTTCGCTGATTCTTGGGCCTGTTAGAGACTTCGTGCCCAAATCAGCCCAGTTCGTTGTTGTGCTTTCTTTCCGCACAGCTAGTTCTCTTGCACGGACTTTCTCTTGCAACCATAACTCACGGATGCTAAGGTGTTTGACCTTTCCTGTGCCCGAACGTTGGGCGATGCCTTTCGCTGCTGTCGAGTCGGTCAGCATGACCTGTTTGACTCGATTGAACCCTACACATTGTAAGATGTGCTTGGTCAGCAGTCCGATTGCAGCTCCTCTTGTCAAGGAGTAGTACTCTGCTTCTCCTGACGAAAGTGCCACTGTTGACTGTTTGGCGCATCCACTGTCTAGCAGATGCTCACCAAATCGCTCCATGTGGCAGGACATTGATCTGCGCGTGACTGCATCTGATGCCCAATCAGAATCTGTGTAAACCTGGAACTCTTCAGGTTCTTCTTGTAAGGCGAAAAGCCAAGTCTCCGTCGGAAACTTCAACAAGTAGCGACCAAGTCTTTTGAGTCGCAACATGTGGATTTCACACGGCTTTGCCATTCCGGCAGTGATTTCTGACAACGCGTACTGGATAGAAGGTCTACCCAAGCTCAAGTAAAGAGCTGTCCCTGCAAGATGTCTGAATCTTGAGGCTTCCGCTGCGTCTAGCGGCTTGTCGCTGGTTCTGCAGCCAGCACCTGTCAGTTTTGAGCTCGGAGTGTCAACTCCTTTTGCTCCTTCCAGCCCAAGCTCTTTTGTCAAAAGCTTGACGTATTTGCGATCTGCTTCCCAAGTGAACCCTTCTTTTGTCCACCTGATTGCTCTGCGCAGATGGTCTCCTTCCAAGCACTGACCTCTGTGCTCAGGATTGCCGATTCGCGGCAACACTTTGATTTCAAAATGTTGCAGCATGAACTCATCCAATTTGTCGAGATCTTCCGCTCGGCCTTCGGCCAGAAAGTCGTCCCCATGACAACTCATTGTGACTTGCCACTCCTTGTGATAAAACACTCCGGGGACTCCTGGCACATTGCTGAATCCGCCTTTCCTGGTCACAGTTCCGTCTACAAACTCGGACCATTGGCGACTCGCTTCGCGAGTTCCATTCATTGCCTTGTTGAGATACCATAGGTGTCTTTGATCGTTGAGATCATCCGGCGGTACCACGGCGATTTTGCCGGTGGATGTGGCATGGAAGAATGCCACACTGACGTCGTAACGTCCGATCAGCTTGTCGTGCTGATGTTGTCCTTTGCGTTTGGTTGCCGCACAGGACAAAATCATCCTGTGAGCTTTCAGCGGTGGGGTTCCAGAGTGTACGTCCTCTCTAGGACCTGTGTTCACCTCTTGGGCTACACATCTGGACCTCACACCTCGTGGATCTCCGTCGATGGTTTTCCATCCGTCGACCCAGCGACTACGGACTATCTTCAATCCCCTTCGTCTGGCCTCCTCCCACGTAATGTCAGTTTTGACGTTGTGCTCGATCATCTTGTCTAGCTCTCTGCCCCTAGCGGTCTTGACCTTTTCAAGAGGCAGCGCTTCGCCTGATCTCTCGTCGAAAGCTGATGTCACATTTCCCCACTCTGGGTATCCGGCGAGGAGGGAATCCTCAAAAATTGCTGCGAGTGGCACGTCATGGAGTGTAGGCAAAGTGCCTTTCTCTTCTGCATGCGTGCTTTCGTCTTGCTGTAGCAGCAATGTTGAGATGTCTTCTGCGTCTTGCAGCTCTTGGACACTGACCTCAGGGTCTCGTTTGCTTCCCTTTGGATCTGGTGCCTTCAGCCTCTTTTGGGCTTCTTGTGTGCCCTCTGTGGGTCTTTTGGCACTTGCTGAAGCCGCGGTGCTTCCCGCAGGATCAGCTGAGGATGCGGGTCTTCCCGCGATCCTTGGTGCGATTGAGAGTGCGGAGTCTCCCGCAACTCCCTGAGGCGCGGCGGTTCCCGCTGCCTCTCGCTTGTCGCGATACAATGACGAGGAATTGTCGGCCGCTGGCGCTTCCAAGTCTTCAACTTGCGCGCTGGCACTTCCTTCGCCTTGTTGTGCCTTCGCTCGCTCTTCGGCGATGATCTTTTCGAATCTTGCTCGGCATGTTGCATTGTGTGGCTTTGGGTTGTCGTCTGAGCTGTGGCAGCCTGGGCATCCTTCTGTGGATCCATGGCGAATCTGCCGTTCCACTGTGATGTACACTCCTCGGGCGCGTCCGCTTGGTGTTCCTGGCGCTGCAATCCTTGGTGTGCCTGGGGCTCCTGGCAGCAAGGTTGGCTCGCCTTTGGGTTGCCACGGAACGCCCTTGAGAGCCTCGAATCTTTTCAGCTCCCATCGTCGCCCTTCTGGCCTGCGCCATGCACTTCTGCAGCGACGGATGCCGTCTGCTGTTCCGACATAGTGTTCGTCGGATTGCAGGGATTTTCCAACCCAAATGCCAATGGCGCTCTGAGCGTCCAGCTTGCCTTTGGCGTCTTGCGCAAGTTTGTAGTGCACAGTTTCAAATGGCTCTACAACTTCACCTTTGTATTCGCGACCTTTGAGTCGTTCATATGGGGTTTTCCCATCTGCCTTCACCAGGAATCTGGTCAATTGCCATGCTGAATGGCGTACAAGCCACGGGTATGAAACACTGGAAACTTTCAGCTTGAAGTCCTTGTACCTTGATTCAAGTGCGTTCACGTTTGTGCGCACCTGTCGCGAGAGCTCCAGTACCGCCCTTTCAGCGGCCCCATTGGACGCGTGAGATTCACGTGGCGCAGTTTGGTGTTGCACCTCTTTGCCATACTTCACGGCTGATGCCTCTGCAAGTGCTTTGATGCTGTGTTCGGCATCTGTTTGCAGGATGGCTTTCTGTCTACCACAAAACTTCAAAGCTTCTACTACCACATTGACGGCGTGATCATTCACTCCCTTTTGCACAACGCTGCTGAAAACGCAGCCTGTTCTTTCGTCAGTGACTACCAAAACGGGCATGACTCCTTCTGCTTCTTCTGTTGGCTCTTTCAACTCAGCCACCGTTGTCTCTTCAGACTTGGTGTTGTCAAGAACTCTGCCCAAAAAGCAATAGTCCATTGAAACTCTGGGGACTTCCTTGTCGTCTCCTGGAGTTCTTCTACGGTGACTATCCTCACGAATTTTTCCAGCCATACAAAACTCACACCAATTTCTAAAAGGAAGGTGTGTAATCATGTGGTTGTCATACTCGGCTTTGGTGACCGTATCTGGGATTTTCTTGGCTCTTACTGGCCTTGCTGGTTCAGATGGTTCAGCAGGCGGTTCCCCAAGTTCAGGGAGAGGGGGTTCAACCTGTTGCCTGTCCTCTACTTCCATTTCCCCAACTGCACCCGGTTCTCGCGCCTCTTCCTCCAACTCTTCCGCTGGAACAGCTTTCTTGGCAGGTCTGATGGCTGCCATCACTTCCTGGCCGGTGGTGCTTCCCACACAGCTGGCGGTGCTACCCGCACTTTGGGATGCGGCATTACCCGCTACCCCTCCAGGGCTTTTATCTACCATGGTTGCTAAGGGCTTGTCATCATGACCGGTTGAACCCTTTTCAAGTGAAACCGGCAACCAATAAACGCCCCTTTTCTTTACCAACCCAAGTTTGTTGGGGGTCTTCTCAATTGCTGCTTTGATGAATTCACTGGATTTGCTGGGGACAAGAAACTGAGCGTCTGGACCAATCACAGTCCACGTGCCTCTTTGTGCCGCCTTGCCAGCACTGAGCACTGAGAAGTTGATCTTGTCAGACTCTGCGTATTCGATCGTGAATTTCCCAGCATCTGTGTTTATGGTGCTTTTCTTGTACTCCCCAGTGATTAAGGGTTGACCAGTAACCGTAACCATACCAACGCTTGACCCTTTTGAAACTGAACGTGCATGGCTATCAAACCCTTTTACAAACAAGTGACTTCCAGCCCCGGTGTCCACCAAAATCTCCTGCGTGCCATTGTTGACGGCAGCTGCAATGAGCGTCTCCTCAGGGTAGGCGCTGAGCGGTTCTGGTTCATCATCAGGACTTGCAGCATTGGGGCGGGGCTTACCGCTCCCGGGGTTAGCCTTGGCCTTTGGCTTACCCTTACTGCTACCTTTACCTTGGGCATTCTTTTCATCACTGATACGTTTTCTGCATTCTGATTTGAGATGCCCCTGCTTACCACAGTAGAAACAGGATTTGTCCTTGTTTGGATTTTGTGGGGCTTGTTGGGTACCTTTACCCTTGCCTTTGGAGTCACCTTTGGAATTCTTTCCATCACCCTTTTTACCACCTTTCTTACCTCCTTTTCCTTTGGCGTTGGCGGTTGCACCAATTTCCATTGCAACCGGCATGGACTGCAGGACACGGTTAGTCCTAGCTATCTCCAACAATTCAGTCTTGACAGCTTCATACGTATTGAGACGTGCGGCATTCTTGATGAGATGTTCTTTCATTGATTGGTCCTGAACCCCTTGAATTACTATACCCAAAAGTATTTCTTCATCTAAGGTTTTCCCCGACTCCATCTCGTACCGGCGCACTGTTTTGTCGAAGCTCTCGAGTTCGGCCTCGATGTCTGTGCCAAACTTAGTGGCCAAGATGAGGGACAAACTCCCCACGAACCTTGACGCCACCTTGGGGTGATACTGCTGGTATAGTCTCCTGTAGGCCTCAATGCCCTCTGACACTCCAGCGTTGTAGGCTATGTCCAATGCCCGGTTCCTCAGCAGCATGACCAGCACGAAGTACAGCTGGCCTGAGAGTGTCCTCTCTGTTTCTGAGAGCGCTCTGTTGGGCAATGGCGTTTGGCTTCTCTCAGCCCGGTCCATCAGGTCATTGTATGCAACGTTGATGCAAGACATGT